ACCCATTCAGGAATGGAGTATTATCTCCTATCACTTCAAGCTCCAGAAACAGGAATATGAATGCTCTGTTAGCAATGGGCAGGATGGCCTACAAGAACTAACCTAACCTAACCTTGCCCTTATTTTCAGAACAAAAAACTGAAAGATGAAAACTTTGTGCTTAAGAAAAACATCTCAAGCCTGTATCTCACCGCTCGAGAGGAGATAACTCGAAAGGATGCTCAAATCAAAGCATTACAGGACAAGGAAGTGAGAAGCAGAAAACTTTTGGCACAATCCCATGCACAGTGAGTGGATATCAAGAGGAATATCAGCATACCACTAAACCCTAGCTGATGAGTTGATTGGTGTTAATTGCATATGCAGTTTTGTCAGGGGATTGACAAATCTCACTGGAATTGCTGACTTTCAACACTTATGTAATTGACAGAGGTTTTATTGTCTTAGCAAGCTAAATGGTCTCGTAGAAAGAAGGATCTCTCGAGGTGTGGAACAGACTGATGTGAGCCATTAACAGACTTCTTAATAACTTCACTGCCCACTGCATCATGATGTTACTTTACTATCAGTGGGGACCACACTGTTAATCACTGTGTAACTGTGGATTGGCAGATTTAGAAATATTGTTTCATGCTGCCACCAATCATGTTGTGGGACTTTGGAACATGACGTTCATTATCCAGTCCAAACTTTGATTTCCCTCAATACACTATGTATTGAGAGATTCATCTTCCAACTTTGGATTATTTTTCCATTCATCAAGCTGCGATAATGAAGTTCATTATCATAAGATGCACTTGTCTATACAGTCTGTCAAATGAGGCTGGAAAGCAACTAAACAACTGCCAGCTTTAGATGTTACTCATCAGTGCGACAAAGACAGAGATTATTTTTATGCAGTACCCCAAGCTGCAATCCTTATGGTTTTGGATACCATGGCCACTTTGAAAAAAACCAAGTTTGCTGTTTAAGTTGCCAATTTGGCATCTATGTTTGAAGTGACATTATTAAAACATAGTTTTAGTTGTCTAAAATTCCAAATTGGGGTAGACATTTTCATAAAATGTAACTCACTCATATTGTCTTTTTTCATATTTAACCTTTTCTTCTTTACACTTAGTTGGCCGAATATTACACCTCGAGATGTCCCTTGAATATCAAAAGACAGACCTCAACTAAACTTCCGATACCTAAGACTGGTGGGGTTTCCTGCAATTTTTCTTGTGGTCGCAAAAATTTTATTTCTAGTATATAATTGATGGAAACTTTGTAAAAGGTTGAATGTGAAGCCCTGACATGGGCTTTTTAAACACTATTTCCCATTTATTTCCTACAAAAAGCTTCTATTAAATTTTCACTCTATTCAGGTAAATGAAAGTGCTCCACCAGAGTTCAAGTTATGTTTCTTGTTTTATCGCAGATCTTCATGATCAGAAAAAAAATTTTGTGAACATATTTAATATTTAATATTAAACTACAACTGAATTGACATTTTAAGTCTGTTAACCAAGGAGATGAAAAAAGACTGCAAGAAGTTTTACACTACACAAGTTTGTGTGTGGATTTGCTTAGTTTGCAGATATAATACAAGACTCAGTTGACAATGATAAGAATAATAAAAATACCTCAAGAAGTCTTATTCAGTTCTAATTTTTGGATCAAAAAAGAGCAATTTCTCCCAAAAAATGTAAGAAAATTACAATAGCCTCTAAATGCAAAAAATTATATTTGCATGATTGATTTGAATAACAATTCTATTACAAATCATAGACACTGTTGAGAAGTTTTCTTAAAATAATTTTCAACACACTGTTGAAATATAGCACATCCTAATCTAATGAATTTGAAAATAAATATGATTTACTTAGAATTTTACAGAAAAGTCTGTTTGGTTTGCTAAAATTTCAGCTCAATCATCACACATGATGCTTTGAAATAAAAATTGTTCTTTCAAATATAGTAAAATTTTGAGTACTTAAGTATCTGAGGAAGAAATTAAAGTTTTGAACTTTTAAAGACACATTTTTCTTGAAAAATTGAGAAAGAGCCACAACAGAACAGTATTTATCACTCAAAAACAAACCATTGGATTCATCCTTAAAAAGGTAAATTCAGTCTAAGTAATTTACATCTGTTTTGGGAAGGAAAACCCTTATTATGAGGTATTTTCTTCAGGTTCACTTAATATTACATGAAGAGGGATAGAGGTACACAATGATATTGAAACACCCTTTGGGAAATGTCAACAATAACGAAGACAGCATAATTATATGTGGTGAGGAGCCACATCATTGAATCATTTGGTGAGAGAAATTAGTCTTCTATTGCCTGAAATGTCCAACGGCATACCCACACACAAGAGGGCAACTCCTCACACTTGAACTCTAAAGGGACACCTTTAAGCCTGTTTCTTCAGATGTATTACACATGTACCACTCTTGTTTGTTTTTTTCACAAAAAAAGGTTCTGAAGTATGTCAACCAGGTTAAAAAATTGAAAAGATACCAATAACCTGTTTTGATTTGTCTCTCTTCACTTACAGCTTACAAGTTGGTCTCCTATTTTCTTGTGGGTTAAGAGATGCTTACTAGCTATCATTTATGTGGCAAGGAATTACCATTCTCAGGTTATCTAAACTAAGTCTACATGTGATCTTATTCCACATAATTGGTACAATCTATAATAATATGAGGTTTTAAAAATAAATTATAGAAAATTAAAATCTTATGGTTGCATTCCTGGGCAAGTCTTACTCATTCTTGCAGCAGTAAATATTCTGTTAAAAATTTAGGGCAATAATTAATCTAAAAAGCTGGACATGGACAGCATTCATCCTGAGGTTGTAATTTGCTTGTCTTTTCCTTTTGACAGTGTTGCAATCTGCTTTTTGAGATTTCTGTTTTCTGTCTGTAAGTGAATTAATCAGTTTAAACATTAGAACTACATTTTTATTACTCACTGAGAAATGAAAATTCTAATAAATAAACAAATACGTCATTCTGTTGCGTACGGCACATTCATCATCATGTTAAGTGCACTTGTCTATAATTAAATCTAGTAAATTCATGTTGTATTCAATTATTTTCAAATTTCAACCATGAAAGTGAGTCAAAAAAGTATAAACGAGTAACCCAAACTTTGTTGAAGATAAAATATTTAGAATCATACTGTAAACAAAAGACATTTCAAAAGTACCAACCTGCAGGCCTTCCATCCTCTCTGCTTGCTGTTTCTGCATTTGAACCATTTTCTGCCTCAATTCCTTTTCTTTTTCCCAATGATCAGCCTTCAGTTCAGTTAACTAAATCACAAAGAAAAGCCATCTGTAATTAGCCTCCCACATAGTTTTTTATAGAGGTTTTTTACGGAGGAGTCCTAAATCCTTAACCCCCTGTCCTCTCCT